AATCAGCTCGACATTAGAGTTTTCTTCAAAACATAAGACACACTACTAAACAACCTTGTCCATATAAAAGACCAGATCCCTAAAGATTCTCTATCTAATTGTGTCTATAAAATAAAATGCTTAGAATGTAATGCGATATACATCGGAGAAGCATTGCCAGGGAGAAATCAAAATCAGAAGAAATGAACACCGTAGTGCATCTGTTCGACCACGGAGAAATCCAATTGAACTAGAAAAAACTTGAAAAATCATCAGGCATAGGTCTACATGCTATAGAATCAGGCCACAAAATTGATAATAATAATAATAATAATTTTGAAAATATTGCAATAATCCAGAAAAACCTCAGGAATCACAAAGAACGTGGAATGATGGACTGACCTGGTTACAACACCTCCCTCCCCCATGAAGTGACAAAATCAACACGAATGTGATATGCAATTTCACTATGTAAACACACACTGCCTTTATCATTTTACACACCGATCGAATCCAACAATTTACACTTGATTTTGTCATCTTTACTACTTGACCAACTTGACAACAAAAGATGACCCCAGACTAATGATCAAGTTAGTAAACTTTATTTTGATACCATAACAGATGTACTATTACCTTTGTTATTTGGTTTAGTGATATTCATTGGTATTTTGACTTTCAATATGTCCTTTTAACTTGACCTAAGTAGTCTATTTTCTCACCTCTTAACCCTTTGTTATATATATGATGAGATTTTGTAAATTCCGGTTTAATAATACTTTGATAAAGCTATTAGCAGCAGCATTAAATAGCGAAACGTCAGTAAAAACAGCAATATCGTTTTGTTTTCCATTCATTGGGAAATACAAAAGCCTTTATTATAATAATGAATATCATATACCCAATGCTCAAATTTTTTCAAACTGTTAAAAGTGAACTTGGTTTGGACATATATTACAGGATTACAAGTTAATTGATTGTATTGGATTTGAACTATTTGTAGGATCACGAGTTCACACACACACTAGTGAAAAACGTGATAAGCGACGAACAATCCCACTGGAGAAGTAAGCCAATCAGATTTTGATTTTTGCTTATTACCAACTAATAGTTAGATTGACAGACAGACAGACAGACAATCAATCAATTTTATCCAGTATTATTCGTCCGTCAATTGGCAGCTATCGAATAACTTCGCGTGGAAGACCCTTGCGAGTGGAATCCGAATAGGAAACGACCGGTGGGTCATCCTAGACTGATATAGAGGAGTTAGTGTGAGGAGGAGATGAGTGATTATGGCCAATCGTGAACGCAGATGATTAAGTGGACAGCACAATGTAGAGATGTGTTATTGAAGCCCTAAGTTTCACTTGGAACCCAAGGATACAATTACATAAATAATCGGAATCTATAGCAGTCGGCGTGTTTCTGGACGACTTAGCGACAATAGTAATAATAATCTGCTTTATTCCAAAACAGTACATGTGATACAGAATGGAATTCTCAGCATTTTTTACTACAGTATTGCATCCAGTTAGTACATTATCAATAAATAGAATTCTACATAGATTAAGGAAATCTCAGTTCATTATGACAACAACACATTGGCATGTCGGTAGCAAAGCCAAAGTTGAACAGTGTTTGAAGGTGTTAGAAAAGTAGATGCTATCATATTTACTGGCGTAAGCGGAAGAAAGAAACAAAGCAGCACATAACGGAAAAAGAGAGAGAGAAAAGGAAAAGAAAGAAAGAAAATGTTGTACCTATAAATGATATGAGTTGGAAAGACGAGGTCCAGTTGTCCTACTGACTATTTAATGAATTATAGGTGTCACGCCTTAATGCTTTCTTCATCGCACAGAACACGAACTAAGTAGAGTATGGTTGAGTTTTTGTACTTGCTGATGTGAGCATATAGTTTCCTATATAGTCTTCTGGTTTTGCCTGATGAGATGCAAGGGGAGAGTTGTGAGTGAAGAGGGTGGTGTGAGTTAGATAAAATGGATTTAGCCCATTTTTCACATGAGTCCATGTGCCTGTCGACCAGAACATTAACAAGCTGGTTAAGTGGCACGTTGCTTACCCTGCTGACAACCTTTAACATCCTGCGTAATGTTTTAGTCTTTCTTCAGTAGCCTGGGAAAAACTAAGGGGGAAAAATAGAGGATAATAGGCAGAATGCGAGAGTTACCGAATTGTAGGAGTGAGGGTTGGGTTATACCAGAATTTCTTAACTTCTTGATGTAGAAGGTAAGACGGAACATTTCCTTGGAAATCGCCAAGATATGAGACGACCAGGAAAGATCAGCAGATAGAATGATGCCTGGGTATTTAATTTCCGACTTGGTTTCTATTTCAGTGCCATCTATGTTGCACATCTCGTGAGAGCCAACCAGTTCGCTTTGGTTGGATTTATGCCTAAAGGTGAAATTGACAATAGACTTAACATCAAGATATTACAACACAGATAGGACTGAAACTGATAAAATAAGATTATAAGTTTCCAGGTCGTAAATGTTACGAATTTCTTGGAATAATTTGAGCCCCGAGTCAGACTGAATCATTATAAATCATTTTAAAATAATCCCAGCGTGTTTAAAAAAAACCCACTGAAAGCGATAGAAATAGCTTCGATCATGGAACCTGTATTAACCCTTTTACCTGATGATGAAGCTAATGAATTGCATCAGAAGGTTGGATGTATCCCGTCGAAAATCAAAAGCAAGTCATCCCAAATTTGTCGAAAAAAAGAACCTCATGCATTACAAACATTAATATCAGACAAATCTATTGTTATAATTAAAGCTGACAAGGGCAATATCACAGTGATTCTTAATAAAGATGACTATAACAAGAAAGCTTTGGAACATATCGAAGCAGATCCACACGCACTAGTACCAATAAACGAAATGTCTAGTGTACTATGAACAAAGTAAAAGCACAAGTATGTAATCTACTTAGAGAATTGAAACCAAAAACTAGGGGATTCAGTTTGGTTTTCAATAGCTCCCAAAACTAACTCGGTCACGAGATTTTATGGAAGGCTGAAAATCCTTTAAGACCAATCCTTCACCAATTCAGTAACATACATTTTATCAAAATACATATCACGAATACTGAAACCACTTCAATACAATATTCCTTCGAACATTAAAAAAATATTGAGGAGTTTAAAAGAAAAGTAATCGACATAACTATTGAAGAAAACGAAATTATGGCAAGTTTTGATGTGGTTTCTCTATTTACTAGTATTCCTATTTAATAATAAAAATAATAACAAAAAATCACGATATCTAGGAATAGCTGAGGCACTGGCGATCCAAAAACGCAAGCCTATTCTATGTGTCTAAAAGAAATAAGTCCAACTGCTGTCTCTCTACCGTGGCCATCATGAAAAGTCAGTCTCACCAATAATGATATTATCCTGTTACCTTTCATGTCCAACCTTCCCATTTATTTGTTAATATTTACCTTATTTAAAATCCCTATCTGCATTATTAGATTTGGTTACTGTTTTTATTTTTATATGTCCGAACCTCTCACACATTTCGTTAATACTACATCCTTAACCCGTAATTACACAAACTGACTAGTTTTCTGGTAATTATAATCCTATTTCGTCTATTCTACCCAATTTTCCTGATGGTTACACATTGGAATTTTTATTTGACCTTTGATCTGAAACATTTCTAGAATAGTGTCACTACCTATTTTCTGTTTATTACGCTTAGTAATTTCATTAATCTGACCTCTGACCGGAAATAATTTGTAGCTCAGGTGAATGATTTTGATGTGGTTGTGTTCTCTGAGCTGGATAGTTAATTTGCGAAGCTTTCATTCCCCTACTAGGCAACATCTTCAGCGCATACTTCAATTTGAATTGAAGTGAGCTTTTAGATTTATTTCTTCACGAGTTAGTTTATTGATCATCTCTCATTGTGGATGACCTTGAACGTGATTGGTTATCTTTTTGTCTGTTTTCACACTCTCTAGGCTACTTGTATTGGAACTGACTGTTTCCTGGACTTGAACTTTGACCCTTTGTGATTGAGATTTCCTTCTTATAGGTTGGTAAATTTTATCTACCTCAATATGTGTATTGATTGATGATTCACTGGAATACCAGACGGGATTCTAAAATTTCGCTAGCATTCTTGTTGTTTCCTCTTTCTAATATTTGAACCTTGGTTGTCCCAGTCGAACTGATGTCCGTGATTGTCTGTATGCAGTGATATGGGTAGTAGATGTCACGTCTTTTGACGGTTAACTTATGATCATGGACACGAAGACGAAGCGGACGTCCACTTTGACCAGTGTAGTGTTTTTTGCAGTTGTTACAACTTTTCTTGAAGATGATGATGTTGGTTTTATCTTCTTTCGTTGTTGAGTCTTTTGGTTGACATAGAGCCGGCTGATTGAAGTGATTATGTTGGTTTGTGTGCTAGGAAATTTTTAGAAGCCTGGTATTCCGGTGAATCGTCAATCAATAGACACGTCGACATAGACACAATTTACCAACCGATAAGAAGAAAACCTCACACACAAAGGGTCAAACTTCAGGTCAAGGAAGCAATCAGCACCAATACCAATACAAGTAGCCTAGAGGGTGTGAAAACAGACAAAAAGATAACCAATCACGTTCAAGGTCATCCACCAAATGAGATGACTAATAAACTAACTCGTGAAGAAATAAATCTAAAAGCTCACTTCAATTCAAATTGAAGTTTGCGCTGAAGATGTTGCCTAGTGGTGGGGCAATGAAAGCTTCGCAAATTAACTATCCAGCTGAGAAAACACAACCATATCAAAATCATCCACCTGAGCTACAAATCTTCTCCATCATATCTATACACGAATATACAGCCTAGTTGATGGTGACTTCGTCGAAAAAAGAAAATTTTCTTCGCTGCAACTGTCTTTTCAATAATTCCTATGATCCAATATGTATATATTCCATGGTAAAATAATAGTAATAATAAATAAATAAATAAATAATTTATAATGATAAAATAAGAACTTACATTTAAAAAATGCGGTTGAGACATTGCCACTGGTGCACCTGGCTGACATGATGACATATCTAAAACACCATCACCATAGCAATCAGGCCAATTTAAACAAAATCCTCTATTCTTTTCATAACTTTTCGGTGATTTAAACGTATCGGGCATTGGAAGAAATTTAATCACCGGCAACTGATTCATTTGAGTTACTGAGTCAGCATAAAATTGTAAGGAACGACATAGATCTGCTGAAAAGATGTACGGTTTCTCATCTCGCGTAATAAATGGATGAAATATTGTCCCATCAGTACCATTGATCATATTAGCTGTCGGTGTTGTCCAATAAGCGAGTGTATCATTCCCATGAAACTTGACAATACGACCAACCATATCACTACGCATTAAACCGCTATCAATAGTAATACTATCACTGATTGTATTATTCATATTAATCATTAAACCAATCCGTGTTGTTGGAATATTCAAACCAAATTTTGATAATAATGTCAGAAATGCATCATCATATCCCCAGAGTAGTTCACTGACAGTCTTTCTAACAATTAAAGTATCCTTAAGAAACTTCTCTATCACTTCAATCAATCTGTCTACAATCAATGGCATTGAATTCATTTTATCTGCAATTGTGACAAAGGCTAAATTCACACCAGTAATAACATCCATTTCTGTACCGTTGGATAAGTGTTTATCAAAATAATATTGTTTCATTTCACGATAACTGATAAACTCGTTCACCATGGAAACATTGAATTTGACACGTCGTTCACGATAGGTATATGGTCCAAGTTGTTCTACACGTGGTTTTTCACCGGCTTGAAATTCTACAGGGTTTGTTAAATTGAACAGGTAGAATTGAATATAAACAGGAATTGATGGCTGTAACCATTCTGGATAGACAACAGATCCGGGGATAATACGAGTTTGCCGAGTGATTAGATACGAGATAAACGGATGTAGGATACATAAGGAGAGTAATGACAGGAAAATCAATACACTGAAGACAATTATCAGGGTTAAGAATATACGAGGCTGCATAATCCTGTATAATAAATGACTGTACACTCACTAGTGGTAGCTTTGTTTTAGAATAAAAGTTGTATGACAGACATGCGCCGCCTGTCTCTTCTAATTGGTGATCAGTTGGTCAATGACTCTATATAGAATGTGCTGTCTGAACCAATCAGATGATTAATAGGTGCAGAAAAGGCAATTTCACACAGTATATATATAGTGTCAGTTAGTATGAATTTGATCGATTTGTTAAGTTTGATTATGGTTTCACACTAAATACCTTGAATACCACTCAGCTGCTCATCTATTCACAGTTAAACTAGGTTTAATTCAAGGTCTTGCCGAAGAGATTACGCATACTTTCAACAACAACATCATATGAACAACGGAAAGATGTAAGCGTCTCATTCAAAATGTTGTTATTCGAAAACAATTACCCAAAAGAATTTGTCAGAGATAATATAAAGCAGAAAAACAAGACGGAGAAAACACAGAAGATGACAAGAAGGAGGATAGCAAAGAAGAACGGTCACAATACCATACAAAAATGGTACGTCAGGGTGGGGGAATTTGAAGAAACCTTAAAACTATTGGAATTCGTACCACATTTAAACCGACGAATCTATAATTAGAAATAAAATAAAAGAGAAGATTTGTAGCTCAGGTGGATGATTTGCAATTAATACTGTTCTCTGAGCTGGTTGGTTTAGTTGCGGAGCTTTCGTCGTCGATTTACCTCGATTCTATGGTAGACCAAAACTACACAAACCAAACATTCCCCTACGAACAATCGTTTCGCTTCCAGGAACACAAACATTTAATCTATCTAAAGAACTTTTCAGGAAATTAAATTACCTAACAGAATCATGCGACCATTCTATCAATTCGTCAATCAAATTTAAAAAAAATCAAAAACATTAAAGTGGATGACAATGAAATAATGGTGTCCTTTGATGTCACAGCATTATATACTTCAATTAGTCCAAAACTAGCAACAGAAACTATGCAACAGTTACTCTATAGTGATGAAAACACAAAAACGCAATTATCAACTTGGATAGAACTCATAAAATTATGCCTTACAACATACTTCCAATTCAATACTCAAATATATGAACAAATAAAAAGAACACCAATGGAATCACCCATGTCGGTATTAATAGATGAAGCCGTCATGCAAAGATTAGAATTAATAGCTCTACCTATAATTAAACCGAAACTCTAGAAACCTTATTTTGATGACACATTCGTAATAATTAAGGGAAATGATTAAGAATATACCCATAAATTAATAAACAACATATTTGAAGACATTAAATTCACCACGAGAGAAGAAGAATTAGATAACAAAATCCCATTTTAGATGTCATAATCAGGAGAACCAACTCAGGAGATTTAGAAACACAAGTATATAGAAAATCAACGCACACATAGGTCAAATACTTAACTATACTAGCAATAATCCAATTACTCACAAACGAAACTGTGTGCAGACATTGTTTAAAAAAGTTCAAACACATTGTAGCACTCCAGAGTTGAAAAGAATGGAAGAAAAGTACCTACAAACGGTCTTTAAAAAGAATGGTTATCCACAAAATTTCATCAAAGAGTGTTTAAAGTCGAATCAAAACACCAATAAGAAAACATCGACAAAGTCCACAAGAGAATTCACCCTACCATACATGTAAAATATCTCTGAAATAACAGCTAGAATACTGAAACTGTTTGATATAGATATAGCACACAAGCCAGTCAAATCGCTTAATTCGATATTATGCAAACCGAAAGATCCAACAGAAAAAGGAGATAAAATTAATACCACTTACGAAATAAATTGTATTAACTGTAACAAGCATTACATCGGCCAAAGTGGGTGTCCCCTTCGAATTAGAATCCAAGAACACAAATCAGCCATGAAAAGACACGATATGTATTCTTTAGTATCAATGCATATAGACAATTGTGGTCATCAATTTGATTGGGATAGTGTCGAAATCTTAGACAGAGGAAACAGCAAAAGTGTAGTCAAGGAATTCCTAGTAGCCTGGTACTCAAACGAAAATGCAATTAACAAACACGTTAATATAGACGAAATATACCAACTGATAAAAAGTAAATCAGGTTACCAGAAAGTTTAAAATCCATGTCAGTAGAAAATGGTCAATACATATGTAAAGATAGTTACTGGGAGATGCAACTATATCACTCATTAAGAAATTTAAATCATTTCACTTTAATTCAAATGAACTGTCGTCAAGATTTGACAGAATATTTCTGAAATATTTGGGCGCCGAGTGAGAAGTAGACATTTGTAAAAAATTATATTTGTAAAATCTCAGCGAGATGGAAATGAGTAATTCCAACGTTTCGTTCAGCAATCTGGTCCAAACTTCTTCAGGGAAATTAATCGAAATTAACATAACAGAGGTTTATATATAAAAGGGACATCACTTGTATTTAAAAACTTTGTCCAATCATAAGTCATTCAACAAGTATCAACAAGTATAATCAACAAAATTTTATGAGCTGTGATCAAAATTTGACCTCGGACTTACTAATATTGGTCTACCTTTGTTAAACGCCTTAAACAGAGTGTGCATGTGTGTGTGGGTAAACAGTTGTAAAACATTTCTTAACATGTCCATAAGAAGATATGGACAGTCGAGAATTTTGACCAAGTATTAATAATTAGTGATACATATCCATTTTTTACTTATTAATAAGGATTTCCTATGCATCAGCTAACATCACGCCTTCATGTCTGTTCAAACTGTTAGAATCTAGAATTTTATGATTAGACGTATTTTCAAAATTATGGTGTTTAGGATTAGAGTTTAGTAGAAGCACCCTCTCGGACTTATTGCTTTGTCTTCTTTCTGAATATTGAGTTGCTTTATTGGACGTACTGGAGTTGTCAGGTGACTCGACAGCTACGGATTTAGGATGTGCATTTTGTTCCAGACAACGGATAGTGAAAAAACGATGATTGTGCTAATTACATAGTTTCTTTGTTAATTTAATTCGATAGCAAAATAATTCAAATGAACTGTCGTCTAATCATAAAGTTCTAGATACTAGCAGTTTGAACAGACATGAAGGTTTGATGTTAGCTGATGCATAGGAAATCCTGATTAATAAATAAAAATGGATATGTATCACTAATCAGTAATACTTGGTCAAATTCCTGACTGTCTATATCTTCCTATGGAGACGTTAAGAAATGTTTTACAACTGTTTACCCACACACGCATGCACAGTCTGTTTAAAATGTTTAACAAAGGTAGGCCAATATTTGTAAGTCCGAGGTCAAATTTGATCACAGCTCATACAATTTTGTTGATTATACTTGTTAATACTTGTGTTTATGAATCATGATTGGACAAAGTTTTTAAAAACAAGTGATGTTCCTTTTATATATAAACCTCTGTTATGTTAATTTCGATTAATTTCCCTGAAGAAGTTTGGACCAGATTGCTGAACGAAACGTTGGAATTACTCATTTCCATCTCGCTGAGATTTTACAAATATAATTTTTTACATTTCACTTTATGCTAAGTATTGCGCTGAAGATGTTGTCCAGTAGGACGACGAAAGCTCCGCAACTAAACTAACTAAGTCAGAGAACACTATTAATTAGAAATAAAATAAATCAACTTAAACGTGGTCAAATAAAAAATGATAGATAAAATTAGTAATGTAATTTACAAAATATTTTGCAAGATGCCAACAAGACTTTCTTGAAATGACTGATTCAGTCCCATGATTCTCTTATCCGACATCAGTTTCTCCGCAAATCTCTGTTGGTCGTCTTCTTTTATCCTGTTGATTTCTAGGAAAATCTATCGTCTGACTTATTACACAAGAAAATCGAGACTTCCTGTTGATATAAATCAACCTCTTCTCTTACATTTTGTCAATTTATGCGTTCTGCCCGTTCTTCTTTATTGTTCACCCCCAGTTATTCTTCCCTCAACTTATCGAAAAACAGTATGTAATGTACTACGGAGGACTTAGAAGGCTATAAACTGGGTTAGCGGTGTACCTTTGACTCAGCTGACTGGTATTCATCTTATGATTACTATTATTATTATCCCCTTCGATTCAGAGTGGAACATTGGGCTCCGACAAAACATCTCCACTCTACATTAGTTTGTTTATTAGATATATCACACAGTGAAACTGTATTATCTAATGGACGACAAGGTTTCGAACAAAATTTATCATTGTTCATAATCATATCATCAGTTATAATCACACGACTTCGAAACTTGAGTTTTATAGTTTTCTTTGTTCTCTCCTATTTGTCGTCGTTGGGGTAGTAGAATTTTCCAGATATCTGGCTGGACAGGTGTTGAATCATTCCTATTACATGTATTTGCAGTTGATTCGATAAACAAAGCTTTCGTTGTTATCAATAATCGCAGACAGGGTATTAGATAAACTAAACTGTTTTGTTTTAAAGGCTCCATAGTACTACCTTATGCAGAATTCCTAACAATGCGGGAATAAAAGTGGCTGGCATTCAAACCAACCACAAACTTAATTAGAAACAAGCTTTGTCGGTTAAAGGATCAATCCTGTCTAGCCTTTAAAACAAAACAATTTAGTTTATCTAATACCCTGCCTGTGATGATTGTCAGGTCATATACATAGGTCAGAGTAGTAGAGCGGGTGCAGTCAGACTAGCGGAGCATAAAAATCTAGTAGCAAAATATAGATTAGTTGACCCGAATAAGATAAGAAAATCAGCTGTAGCACTCACTGCATGCAATTGCACACAAACAAATAATAGGACAGGATAAGATGACAATTCGCCTTAAAATCCAATGTAACAGCAAGATTGAGGGAGAGGTTGATAACAACGGAAGCTTTGTTTATCGAATCAACTGAATGGAAACACGTGTAATAGGAGTGATTCAACACCTGTCCACTTGGACATCTGGAAAATTCTACTAGCCCAACGACGACAAATAGGAGAGAACAAAGAAAACTATAAAACTCAAGTTTCGAAGTCGTGTGATTATATTTGATGAAATGATTATATTTTCTATAGTTTTGGTT